CAGCTCGTTCTACAGTCATTTTCAACTCTGTTTGGGAAATCCAGCGGTTTTCTTTCATTCCAAGATAAATAACTGACATAGCATTTATTCGACGTTCCTCAGCAGTTGTTAAGAAATCGTAAATATTATAAATTTCAGTAGACATGATTTATAAAAAATTTGGTGTTAGAGAAATAATGTAAATTGAGAAAGAACGAGAAATATCCTAGCAAAGCGACAAATAGCTAAAAATTTCGTATACTGCCCTCTTAAACGTTTTCGCATATATCAGATTCGTAAATCTTCAGCTTGGGGTTATGGGGTAGGTCGAAGAAAAAATAGATAACGTAAAAAGCGAAACAATATAAACTAAAATTTATTTCAGAGGAATTCACTAATTTAGACCCCAGTTTCTCAAAAATCGATCACATCACATCATGTGACGATCAGCAACTCGTAAAATTTCCGCGTCAAATTTCGTGTCAAATTTCCCGTCCCTCACTGACGTACGCTAATTTTAACCTCTAAAAAAACGAAATTTTTTTTTTTTTTGACATTAAATACATGAATATTAAAATTTAGCATATTAGTGAAAGTAATATTATTTTATTAAAGCAAACATCATTAAAAATATTTTGCATGCATGAACGAAAGTTACAGATTAAATGAAAGGTGAATTAGAACTTGTTTTGCCTTTTAAATCTCACATTTGAAAAGATTCTTGGCTTATCATCATTATTAACTTGTGGCACAATATCAACTTTTGCAATTCGTGTTCTTTCTATTTGAGCAGCATTCATTAGAGTTGTTCGCAAACTGCAAATATCTTGGATCTTTTTATTTTGCCATTCTGCAGTAATCATAGCAAAGTCTTCTTGTAATTTTAACATTTCGTTATTTTTATTATCATTGAATTTTTGAACAGAACCAATATCATCAGAAGAAATGGGTGATCCTAAAACTGAAAATGGTTGTTTTTGAATATTATCATCATGAATATAAACTTAAGCCAAAATTGCGAATATGCGTTTGCATGCCAATTATCGTATTTTAAAATCAAGACAAGTACAAATGAATGACTTAGCTTAGTATCTAATTCATTTTTATTAGAATCTTTCTTCTGAACAGTATATTCAACATCGTCATTTGTTATAAAATGAATGATCCAAACATCTGGCTATAATTTGTATACATCCTTTTCGTTTATTCTTGTAGTTCCTATAATCTTTCGAATATGTTGTTGTCATTGCCTTGTATTCATTTGCCCGATTTTCAATTCATTCAAAAAATTTGAAAAATTAATATCTTAGAGTACAATTTCTACAAGGATATAAACTTCTCCATCAAGCTGACATCCTGGACGTCTTCTCATATATGTATACTTCAATTTATGATGAAAAGCCTTAATCAAATTATTAGTGTTAATCATATCTCTAGCAATACCTCTAACGCATATCATCTACATATCGTATTTTGGTTTTCACCATTGTTCAAAGTAATCAGCAAAGTTTTTCGCTGATTCAATGCTCATTTTTCGCCATTTGTTAATTACTTTTATTAGTTGTTCCTGAGCTTCTATATCATTCCACCCTTCTGTTTTCATTAGCTGCCAAAGATCATTTCAAATAATTGCTTTATTTGGATCAATATTTGAACTATGTTTATGGCCAAGTTTTCTGCGTCAAGAACGCAACACATAAAAATGGCACAGTAACACCGAACTGTCTGGAAAATATTCTTCAACTGCCTTAATTTCCTTACCTGCATCATCAACCATAAAGATATCAGGACGCCATTCAATATGCTCTTTTTTTAAGAAGGTAAGCCATCTTTTTAATGTTACTGATCGTTTATAATTGCTTATCAAAAATGCTATTGAATACCCGCTTCCCATTTCTGAATGCTGAATAATAAGAGTAAAAAGATGGTAACCATGGTGGTTCATCCTGTAGGTATCATCTAAACATAATACCCTTGCAAAATTCATTAATTCAAACTGATCTTTGGTTTGGAATGCAAACATAAACCTATTTCATCCACCTCATTATTTTGTTCAAATAAACAATTGTCACCTTTATTGGTTAGCTTAACCTTCCATTTTTCCAAAGATACTAACTCATCTTAATCAAAATAAGCAAATGTTTTCATTGTATTATGCACAATTGCATAAATATCATCTCTTATTACTAAGCCATCTCGTAAAGTTTGAATATCCCATGAATGCTTTTCAGGATTACTACATTTCTCTTTTACCCAATCCTGAAGTTTGATTGCTCTAAATCGATAGAACTTATGTATGTTGAGACAATCAAGCCCTTCAAGTGCACGCTACTAGATAAAATATCGTATATTTTTAGAAAGTTGTAACGAACACAAATCTGCTAAATAACTAGAATAATGGTTAACATGTTTGTAATAATGTTTTAAGACTACTGTTAATGAGTTAATAGGAAGTGTGATGTGAATATAACTTTTACAACTGTACTTCTTTATTTCCTTTTGTGTTATTCGTGGCTTTTTGTTTTGATTCTCCCAGCGACGCTTTGTATTGTTTAGAACAGTAACATAACTACCGCTCTGTTCATTTATATATTTTTCTAGTATCATCCAATTGGTTTTGGCATTCAAGACGAACATAACTGAGTCATGCCTATACATGAAGTCGAAATGGATCATTTCGGATATCTGAAATGGTCGAAATAGTCGAAATCATTTCGATCATTGGAGGCTAAAGTCGTGAAATAGTCAAAATGATGTCATATCACATGATTTTTTATATTTAGAAATAACAAAAAACAAAAGATGTATGATCTCAGTCAATATCGCACCGATTCGTATGAAATAACTACCATTCGATTTTTCGCGACTAGACGAATCCAATGCACTAACATGCATTAATTTTGGATCATCCAATCACGAGATACTTGCAATTGTATTATCGGCTAAAATTATAAATCAATAAATTCTACTTTAAATAAAGGAGTCTGGATTTCGAAATACGAT